ATTAATTCTAACGCGTTCAAAACGTAAGATTAAATTATAAGCTCTAAAACACGTTTCGCCAAAATTATTAGCGAAACAATTTTGTCGAAAGGGACCCACCTCGTCGGACAACTACAATTATCTCAGCATAATAATTTATAATCCACAACGAGAACCGAATCGCGCGCACGTTTTGATTTTGGAATACTTTTCCCCTACCATTTCGGCCGCTAAATCGCTTACATTTCTGTGTTACCTCGAGACTCTCCTTGTAACTCTTACTACTTATTAATGTCTAATAATTACAGCTGCTTCGCGTAAAATCCGAAAACTAATTTCCGTCCGAATCATCACCCAGTTACATTCATCCGTTTTGCGTCAGCACACGATCGGTCGGCCGATTAGAAGACTCGCTCGCGAAGAACCTGCGAGCACAAGTGCAGCGCACTTTTGTCCTCCTAGTTGACCAGAAATCCACGCGGATCACAATGTGTCCGAGGCGCGATTAAGTGCGACTTCCCACGTGGGAATTTATCGCGCCGCGCGCGATGTTACACGGCAGAGAAAGTGCTCGGAGTTGACTGTGCCGTGCGAAAATTATCGTTGGCCTTCCTCAAGTCGACCCGTCTCTTATTACGCCCGGCTGTCTGATCGATTCTCTTTAAAGCCCGCGGCACACGTACCTACGTGTCGGCTCCCTTACCCGACACAAGCCTGCGAGAGTTGCGGCATGTATGTGTTTCGGAATGGCCTAGGGAGTAAGGCCTGCTGATTAATTTAAGTTAAACACGAAGACCTATATCGTTTCGGTCTAAATTTCAATCCACTTGCGTCCACTTGATATTTTACTCGATACTCGTCTAATTTGTTCCCAAGAGCAATTTCTCTCCCTCGAAAAAGAAATGAATTTTTTAGTCCCTCCCCCCTCTCTTAGAAATTTTTAAACATACACCCTTTTGTCTGTTAACACTTTGAAGCACGGTGTGACATATGTTACACCTCCCGGAGATAAAAAAGCCAACACGTCTTTCACTCCGGTGTCTTCACTACTTCTTGTCTAGAAGGTTTGTGGTTTGCCAATCCTGATTTTGAAGTCGAAATTCTACAATTATCGACGACTGACTCAGTATAGCAGCTCGAAGTTAAAGTTTTAATTGAACAATTTTGTTTTCTACAAGACATTCTGTAGTCAAGAAGTTACTCCTGTAAACGACATTCGGAAACTAAGAATCTGGGAGGTTTTGAGATCACTGATTTCTAATCTGAAGTCGAGATCCAAGATGGCGGATCCAATATAGTTAAAATTGCGAAAAATGCAATCGATTTATCTGGAACTCGTAAGGTTTCCAGGTTGCTGATTACACATATGGGGTCAGATTTATAAAATTCATAACGGCGGATCCAACGTGGCGCCTGAAAATCTGCATTTAAATTTCATAATTCTGACACCAGACTCGTAACCAGCGACCCACAAAAAAACCCCTTTAGGTATTAACTTTCAGAAAAATCGGCTGAAAGGAAAAATGCTTGAAAGGGTTAGATTTGAACGCGAATACTTTTATTCTTCGTCGCTAAATACGCAACTCAAGATGAATACAAGTCGCTTCGTCTATGAAGAGACACTGAGAGTCGAAGGACATCTTATTTCTCCAGGAATTTGCGCGCAGGATTAGTCATTGTAGCGAAAATAAAGACTCCGACGCCGCAAATTACCGCGCGAACCGCGAGAAATATTGCGGAACTATCGGAAACGGATAACCAAGCAATTACAGTGCAATCTGTAACGTATGTGATATCAGCAGTGCAGCGGAGCGTTCACAGCGGCATACGCGAAGGGATAAATCAAGACCGAGATATACCGTGGCTGCACCGCGGGCTTAATGATCATTCATCTCATTTGGAATCGATCATGTCTAAAGTGCACACAGCGTGCGTCGTTAATTCTGTGCATTACGGCAAGGCATCGCGAGGCGCGTTCGCAGAAACTTTCGAGCTGTCATTAAAGGACGATAGATCGCTCGGTAAGACCGAGAAAATATTTTACCTCCACCTTAAAAATCCCTCTTTCCTATTTCAATAAGAGGAAATCGCTCGCAAATAACGTTCGAGATGTACCCAAGGCGCCGAGGGTTTTCACCCTCGGCGCGAGACAACACGTTCGAACGCGGCATTAAAGTTGTAAGCTCTGAAAAATTAGTAGCGAAATAATTTTATCCAGCGGGATCGTTCCATCGGGACAAAATGCAATTACATGGCGATGACTTACCTCACCGACTCGGCGCCAGGCACAGGATTCTCGATGGCAAACGACCGATTCGTCCGTTTTCGCACGTGCTGCGAGCTCCTCGACTTATCTGCCGTGCGGAGGAACGTCACGTACGACGTTGCGTATCCGATGCACGTGTGACGCTTGTTCATAAATCTTAAAATACACGCGCGCGAAGCACGTTGACCTCGGTGCACATTGTGTTCCTCGCGGGCACACGTATCTCGGTGCATGCTACGTGGAAATATGAGGGGGAAAAAAAACGGAGAAAAGAAGACGCTGATGCCTTCGTAATGGAAGATGTCGGGGCCGTCGACGAGCACGCGGTCGAATGGATTTAAACGAACCGCCTCGTTGCGCGGTCACAAGGTCGATTCCCTTCGTATCGATTAGGGTGGCGAGTGGGGTTAATTATTCCTTTCTCTCTCCGCGCCGTGTAATTGCGATGTAACGAGAAAAAAGGCTCGTAACGTCCCGCCCGCAATAACGCCCGAAATACCGCTGCGAATCTCGTAGTAAAAGCGAATTAATGCATTCGGAGTACGATAATTACAAGAGTCGATTTGCTCGACTTCGCCGGTTAATTTGAGCTGCGGCTTAATTTACTCCTTGTCCCACTCTTATTTCTGTCCCGAAAAGCAACTTAGCATCAGATTAAAGTTAATCAGCGATGCACAGGATGCGTTTCAGTTGGTGTAAAACATCCCAGGGGCGCAGTCTCATCGACCAAGCGTTAAAGAAACGTCCATATTTTTAAGCGCGAATATTTTTAAGTCTCGAAACGCTTTGGAGAAGTTGCTCAAGGTTTTCTCAAAGAGCTCGGAAAACTTTTAGTAACTTCGACCTTTAGTAAACTGGCGCTTCCAATTCTTTCCGTTAAACTCTGTCGTGTTTAATTGCATCACCTGTTCCGTTGAATTGTTTATTAATTGTTTCATAACGCTAAGGGGATGCTGGAGTGATTCTGCACCTTTTGCACTTTTCGCGTCTAGGACTGTCAATTCACGAAAACATTTGTGTAACGTACAAATTTTAGGTTACCTATAATTTTTCCGAGTGACTCGATTTTTTGTTAGGCTTCTAAACTTAATTTCAATGATACCATGCTGTTTTCTCATTTAGTCCGAATAGTGGGACACTGTCGGTCTGTACACAATAGCCATATTATTTGTATATTACACCGACGGTGTTCCACTAGTCGGACTGCATCAGAGAACAGCATGGTATCATTAATATTAAGTTTAGAAGCCTGACAAGAAGATCTACTCGCTCGAATAAGTTGTAAGTTACCTAACCTATAACTTTTCAGAGCGAATAGATTTTTTGTCAGGCTTCTAAACTTAATTTCAATGATACCATGCTGTTTTCTCATTTAGTCCTAATAGCGGAACACCGTCGGTCTGTACGCAAAAGCCGCACAATTTGTATATTACGCAAACGTTTTCGTGAGTCGACAGTCCTGGGAGGAAAAGGCGCAAAGAGTGCAGAATCGCTCCCGGCGTCCCCTTAAACGATAAAAATTTTCCCCAGTTCCAGAAAAACCAGGCATTTCTATACCCGTTTATACACGGACTTTATTAAATGCTTGGACGGAAATGCGCACCCGGGACACCAATTAAGATACACCCTGCGTACATCTAGACACCGTTATCCTTATCTGCCGATGATCATCGTCATCGGGACTTGTCTACGAATTTCTCGCGGCAGTACATATCGAAGGTTCAGTTAAGGCCCGTGTCGACGATACTAGAACTTGGTTTCCAAGTTCTAGCATCGTCGACACAGGCCTCTCTATGTACCCGAAGAGAACACAATAGCGGGGAAATAAAGAAGAAAAGAACGCGCGATGCATAGTGGAGTTCGCGAGGCGGGCTCGCGCGGAAAGTTCGGCTATCCGGAAATTGATATCCGCATTTATCGTCTTCCGCGCGGCTCGCCCCCCTCCCCTCCTCCTCCTCTGCCCCCTAATCCGGACGCGCGACGGACGTCCGGTGGATCTCTGGCGAACACGATAATACGTAGAGCTGCAGGTGCTTACTCTCCGCATCCGCCGCACGCCGTAATAGCACGCGAAGGGGTACGGTATCGATTTCTCGGCGAGAGGGATGACGCGCGTGCTGGTCGACGAGCTTGCGGCAAGCCGGAGCTGCCGCGGCAAGCCGGGTATAAAATTAACGTTGTGTCACCCCCTTAAGCGATATTATTCCCCCTCCCCCCTTTCCCCTATCTAGTCGACATTACCTCGTAATTCGCAATTCGTTGTGTCACCACGTAACACCGCTCGTCGCAACGCGGACGGCGGCCGTAGCATCTCTTGCCCCCCTCCCCCCCCCCTCTACCTCCCCGTGCATCGCACGTCTCCGATCTTCGGACACGCGGCTTGCATCGATCGGCCGACCGCGGCAGGCCCGAGAAAAGGGGGACGCACGCCGCGAGGGGCACGCGTCTCTCCGCGCGATCGTTAATGCCGCGAGGCGTCCTCGCTTCCGTCTCGGCGTGAAATTCCGCTCCCGCGATCTCGAGTCCGCGCGATTCGTTAACGCTCGCGCGAGGCTTCCTCACCTCCGCCGCGCGCGATCTCGGGCCCGCGCGATCGCGCCGAGAGACCCTGATCGGCCCCCTTCGATCCCGATCGCGAATCCTCCGATGCGCCATGCGTTTCTTATCTTATTTAGAACTCGCGTACGACTGGGATTACGAGTAAACTCCTCGTGACTCCCGCGACGTGATCTAATCAAGCGGGTCTTGCGGAGAATGAGTAATGGAATGGAGATTAAAGTGACGATAAACAAGTAGCTTACACGAGATTGAAATCACAGTCGGCTTTGAGCTGTTCTAACGTACTTACGGTGAATTAGAAAAAAGCTGTCTTTGTGCGAAGACCCGAGTTTCCGGGAAAGAAAAGAATTCGCGGGGCTCAAATCGGATCGCATCTAACTGCAGTCGGTTTCGGAATTACGTAAATTCAAGACCTATTTACATTTGAGATTCGTTTGTAATTTATGCGCGTAAGGGCGTGCCAGTATACACTTTGAGTACCCGCACGAATCAAGCAGTCTGCGATGCGCGAAGAAATCTTGACGAGCTTGAATTTTATTTCTACTACGAGGCGAAAGCGTTCGCAAACAAAAAAAGAGGGGGGAAAAACAGAACAACGCGAATCTCCTCCGAGTTATCGATAAGATCCAGAATGAAGTTAGACCCCCAGCGTGTGCCAACTGCCAGCACCTTCGAGGTCGCGTCCGCGACAAGCAAACCTGCAGCGGAGCTGCGTGCAAAGTCTCAACGACTCCTGAAGCGCATCAGAGGATTCGCGGGGTTTCCGGTCTCCGCCGAGTGTGTCATTAGACCGGGACCGTAATCCGGAAAAGGGACAGCGAGTCGTTTTGTCCGGGATCAGTTGAGCGAAATCGCGGGCTTCGGGAGCCGCCGCGCGGTCCTCGTCGGCCGACGTCGTCACCTGCCTCCCCTCTGTCCTCTGATGAGGACGGAAGGGTCTCTGTTCGCCGGCGTTAATTCCGTCACCGCACTCCGAAGGACGTTCCTGAATCCGGACGACTGAATCCGAGCGAGGCGGAATCCGCTGTGCGGTCGTCGACGTGGCGAGCTCGCGAAACGGACGAGGACTTCCACGAGCCAATTAGATCCCACCCCTCCGTTCGTCGACGACGATGTCACCACACTCTCTCAACGTTTCCCACGTTTCGCGAGACCTTCTTTTCCACCGATCGTACACCACCGTTGGCTGCGGTCCCGCGGTCAACCGTGCGAGAATCTGGGCGTGCGATGCGTCGCTGCGATTATCTCTCTCTCTCTCTGTCTCTCTCCCTCTTTCTGGAGAGAAAAGTCTTTTCTCTTTCCGGGAGATCTCGCTCTCGCCGAGGATCGACAGCGACTCGAGTTTGAATCGCCGGCTTCTCCCCTTTTATCTATCGTTCTCGATCATCCTCCGTTATCACGGCTCTATGCCCTCCTCGTCGGGCACGAGCGACGGCCTCGTTATCGGAACGCCACCATTAATAGCGTACGTCATAGTTAATAGGAAATTGTCGTTGATACGCGTCGCGTGTAAACGATGCTGCGTGTGTGTTGGCGAGTGTCCGTTTCGGTGGTGGCCTTATTGTTGCGCCGGCGGCCTTGACGTTTCCGTCGAGTTCTCTGAGGGAGTCGGTGTGGGTCGTGGTTGTCCTTTACGATCGCTCGTCGACGACTCGTCCGGAGGTGCGGCGACGTCGGGATTAAGGAGCGAGCATCTTCGACAGCTCCTCGTCCTGGAGGCAGCCCTTGAGGAATTCGTCCTGCGTCAGCTGCCCGTCGTTGTTCTCGTCCATCTTCGCGAATATGTTCTTCGCCCTCTCCTCCGCGCTGTCCGCCGGCCGATTGCTCGAACACGCGCCGAGCATGTCGTATATCGCCTGGGAACAGAAGGAACAACTTTGTTTCTCCGCCGTGGTATTCACGTTAGAATCTCTCGGCGCGCCCCGCCCGCCGTCTCTCCGCTCGCGCATCTGGAAAACCTAGTCGCGTCCGACATACGAAATACGTAGTTCTGGCATTAACGTCTCGGAGTACGGAGGACGATCGATGTCGTTTCCCGGCGATTTCAAAGAGGAAACGTGCGCTCTTCTGCTTTCAATTCGCGAAATGATATCAATCATCCCCGTTCCAAGGCATTGATGCGTTTCCAATTGACATTCGTGAAAGATCTCAGAATGCAATGCGATTTGAAGAAAGTAGATTTATGCGGCACCTTTTTACAACGAATTAATGATATTAGTGCGATTCTACTCGCACAAAGAATTGTTAAGCTGATGCAACAAGATTAATGCAGCTTTAGTTTACCACTTTGGTTTACTTACCTCCTCGCGTAATACATCAGACAAGTTTTGTACGTGTAACTGTACGTGTAGTAACTTTCGTTAAACAGGGGCTGTATCGATTTCAATTATGACACAACGCGAACGTGTACGTTTATACAGGGTGTCCCAGGGTGAAAGGTCAATATTCTGGGAGGTGATAGTATCGGTCATTTTAAGCAAAAAATTTCATACGAACATACGTCCCATTCCCCACTGTTTCCGAGATAGAGCTACTTGAATGTAGAGTCCCTGTAGTAAGAGTCTGGCAAGGGTTGACGCAAAATGGCGTCTGGTCTGTTCGTTATCGCTGCATTACTGCACTAGTGCAGTTAGTTAATTGCACTAGTGCAGTAATGCAGCGATAACGAACAGACCAAAGGTAACCAAATAATAATAATAATAATAATCCCGCGTTCAGAGTTCAGATTCGAGACACCTTATTGGTTCCGCCATTTTGCGTCAAACCAATCAAACGGAGAATATTTCTTGCCAGACTCTTACTACAGGGACAAGCACAGTATAACCAGTAGTTGCACTCTCTGTCGGCACCTTTGATCTGGGCGTTCTCAATTTTCCGCCATGTTTTTATTCGCGCCAACAGTGTATCAACGGCTAAAAGTGCCTGGGCCCTTTTCAGGATCGTATCCAGGAAAGGCCCATACGAACTGGCATACATTATTTATTGTAAATGAAAATGGCCTATGAAAAAATTGTTTTAATAAAAGTAATTAATGTAATTACTTGCTCCAACGTATGAAAGTATTTACGCGTTATTCGTCAACACTGCGAATTTTTCAGTGTCACACCGACTATGCACTAACACACGTACAAAAATCCTGTGATTGGTCAGAATAAAAACATGTCGGATGCGCAGTACGGATCGGCGCGAAGGTGAAACAAAAGAGCGAGTGCCCATACTGGTTATACTGTGCTCTTACTACAGGGACTCTACTTGAATGTCTCGTGCGTACACTTCGCCCTTCGTCCAACCTCACCAACGTCTGCGGGAATCTACTCTTATATGTACGTCTGTTGACTGTTGCGCCGATAACATTGTAGAAACGTTCAAAATGCCTCGCGTATTCACAAATGTCGAATACGCAGATATGCTGTATGTTTACGGTTTCTGTGACGGTGGCGCTACTGCTGCTGTTGAAGAATACCGTCGACTCGCTTTCCTACACGCAGAATTCCGAATCGTTAAGTTTTCCAAGGTTTTCAATACGTTGCGCGAAAGTGGAACGCTTCCCAGTGTTCAGGTTTCATCCGAACGAGGACGTCAACAAAATGTGCTCTATCTCGGAAACAGTGGGGAATGGGACATATATCCGTATGAACATTTTGGCTTAAAATGACCGATACTATCACCTCCCAGAATATTGACCTTTCCTCCTGGGACACGCGGCATATCCCTTGAGACTTGAGCCAACGGCACACGATACTATTTTTCCTACTGTACTGCTTACGAGAGCCAATCAGGATTTAGCTTCGGGTCACCTGATCTAAAACTCTGCATCTTTATTGGTTCTGGTAAGCAGTAGGAAAAATGGTATCGCCTGCCGTTCGCTTTAGTAAGAGAAAGCTATTAATATACATACGAACAATATTTGAGTTAATATTAAATACTTTAACGAGAAATACAAAAACATTTTAAGAAATCGACGCGCTTGTATACTGCTTTAGTTTTCTGATTAAAAGTTTTTTTTCCCCTAAGAAAGTGTAATAAAGGTAGTTTGAGCAAAGATGCGATCGTTTGCATATATGCATTATAAACGCCATAAAATCGTAAATCACGAAAACCACGAACAAGCCTCGTGTCACTTCTTTTTCAGACAAGAGTCTGTTCTAAATCCATCAAGATCGGAAGGTTACGCGACTCAGCCATACAAAAAACCGCACCTGATTAATGAGCATTCAATGGACCGCCGGTGAGCGTAGCTTCTTTCGTTCTAAGTATATATACATAGGTGCCGAACTATAAAACGTTTCGGGTATACGGCTATTTATTACTTCAGCAATTTCTTCCCATAATAAAAAGCATACCGCGTTTCAATGAAGAACATATATAATTTATGGAAAAATTATTAGCGTAACAAAACATGCACGCGTAACAATTTTACATGTGTATCACTTAATTCATTCATGTGGTGTCGTTTGTGACTTCGCGTAAAAATTTTTTAAGTATTATATTTTGAAGCTTGTCTTATAAAAAAAACTGGTCAAATAGGTTTATACGAATTTTATTAAAATATCGACCGTGAAGCTGTCTTTCGACAGCGCAAAAAAATTCTCTTTGTCGTGTCATAATGCATTTACAGTTGATCGGGAAATTGATAAGTTCAAAATTAAATCATGCGCGGCACACGTATACCCATTTTTCTTATGCACGTTGCGTTCACGGTCGAGCAAAGCTCGACTAAGTGATAAATCGTGTTGCCCCAAAAATATAATTTATCGCACCGATACTTTTTTTGAGAGCCACTAAAGCGCACCAGTGATTCTTTATTTAGAATCTCCTTTTCGTACTTTTTCCGATTAGTCCACTGTAAACCGTCCGGACAGAGATAAATGCGCGAAATTTATTATTTTCCCACTCAGCAGCTAGACGTGAGATAAAGCAGATTAATTTTATCGCGAACGCATTGGCAGACTTACCGGCGAAACACAATTATTTAAACAAAATTAATCCTCTTTTAGTTTTCCCTGCACAGTATAAAATTATTCAGAAGGCTATAAATCAATCTTCAAACTACACGGAGAGAATTTTCTCTCAAAATTTAGCCTGAAAATCATGTATTCGTGGGACAACGAGGCATTTTGAATAACTTTATGGAAGTTTTTTTGAAATTTTACCGCATATTTTATTATACTGAGAAAAAACTGTTGAGACAAGAAAATATTTCTTGATTCAACTATATGCTGCAGGCACGGGCTGTCAAACAAATATTTTTTAGTTCACGTAAACATTTGTTAATCAAAAATATATATATTTGAATAAATTATGTATGTTTAATTAAAAAACATATATATTTGAATTAAAGAAATACTGTTAACTAAACATATTTAGTAATATCAACTATTTCTTTCTCCGTGCAGCCATTGTTTACATTCTACTAGTAAACGTATGGTAAAATTTCAAAAAACTCTCATGAGGTTCTTCGAAATGTCACGTCGTCCCACGATTATATGATTTGCAGGATAAATTTTAAGTTCTCCCCGTAATTATTTATTATTACAGTTTATATTTACTATATAAACTGTAATAATAAATAATTACAATAACTTCTGTTACTTTCATATAACGAAATTATATTTTTCTATGCTCAGTGTAAAATATTGCCTTGTAAAAATATTTTTATCTACTTCATTTCCAATTCTATCTAAGAATAAATGTACCAAATGTTTCTTCCGCGGATACATCGCTTTATAATTTGACGAAACGGCAGTATTTTTTTATACAACAGCGCTTTACCCGTGGAGATATCGGCAACAACTGTTGGGATACGCGGAGTTTCGACAATGGAATGTAGGGTCAATTGAGTTACAGGAACGCGCGTTTCGCGATGTAGATGTTCACAGGTTAAGTGTTAAACATGGATGCGCGGGAGTTTCGCCAAACATTCCAGCGTTAATTTTCATTGAACCCCGAAATTCCCGTGGAAGTGGCGTCGCGGAAGTTCCAAACTTCTAATAGCGTGGAGATGAGTATCCTAACGGACGCGACTAGGCGGCTCGATGAGCTTTTTAACGAAAGCGATAACGTATCTTAAAGGAAGACGTAAAGATCTTTCCTTTTTCACCCCGAGCGAAACTTTTTGCCGATAATTAAAGCGCCTTAATCTCTTTCAGGACGATTTTCTCCGTCATTTGAAAATTAGAGAAATTATCATTTTCACGATGATAAGTGATCGGTGTCGGCTTTTATCAGAAGTGAAAAGATTTCTATGAGAATACGTATACAGGGTGTCTGATGCAAAAGTAGCCACTTTGCAAATAGCGGTAGATTGGGTTAAACTAAGGAGAAATATCATGTACCGAGGTACAAAGTAACAATAGTTACCGACAAAGAAATTTATACGTTTGAGCGAATGAGGATGCAGGAGACGGTAGGCCGGACTC